CCTACCACTGGTTTTATTCACCTTAATTCACTGCAAGAGACCCACCCCGAGATCCCAGATGTTACGTAGTGTTAGGCGCACAACGGTAATAGTAATGATATTGGAGCATCGTTGTATAGACTAAGGTGAATGATGGCCGGCACTAGGTAGCCATAAGTTTGGGCCTGGGGTAAAGCTTATGGGTTGCCCATTCCACCAGAACATTTTTCATATTTACTGAGGCTCATTAGTCCAGTCCCTCTCAGTTGATTTGACAGCTATGAGCTATCAGTTGGACTGGCTGGTGGCTGAAAAACCGTGTCTATATTTCATTTGTGGTTTTTATCCTCTCGGGTCCAAACCGAGTAATGGTAAACTTCCAATAACTGATTTCTCCGGACAAGTTTCACAAGAGAGCTGGTGGTAATGCCTTCACGCTTCCTAGAGTGTTTAATAGGGCTTACCCATCTGTACTCAATTATTAGTCGTCAATATTCTATTCCAGCAGCATTGGCAGTGAACTCAGTGTGAAACAATTACATTCTCGTTCAAACTAATGCAATGATAGAACTTAGTATGTCACGTCAATGAATCGATGGTGATTCCTGTTCACTCAACCAGTCCCACTGTCCTTAGCACCGCGTGAGTTCACTAAGCAACACGGAGCTGCACCCCCCCTTGTCAGAAGAAAGACAAAATTGCATTAAGGGAAGACAAACTTTAACCATTCTTTTTTTAAAAAAATTTATATAATATCAAGCACGATGTAGTTTAGCCGCCTAAGTTCAGTGGTACTTGGTTTCATGTTATATGATACTTTCAGGACCACTTTTTGGGCCCAGATCACTATGGCAGTTTCGAACACGTACTCACTGTGAAAGTAAATACGCGTACCATTTAAATTGACGTCAAAATATGGTGCCATTTCATAAGATTTTCTAAATCGGTTGCTCAAGAATGACAGCTTTATGCTTGACGCACTTTTGTCTCCGCATAAATCCTAGTGTTTTTCAAACCTTGCAGGAATTATACGTAAGATGGCATTTTTTTAAAATTCTCCTTCGTTTTCACCTGTTATATAGTCAAAGAATTCCACATGTTGTCTATCGGCTGATAAATACTTTTGATAAGAGTATATGGAATTTGGATACGCGCTTATCGTGTTTATCTCAAATTACTTCTACCAATCCCAACAAGCGAAAATAAGCTGAATATATGACGTCAACTGGAAAAAAACACGTTAAGGCAAACGCTTCCCGCCCGCATCATTATACGTGTCGGTGTGATCACGTGTGACCACTGACAAAATGTCAAACAGAAAGATTTCAAAAACTATCAGTCCTTCCCTATCAGCACTAAATATCGTGGAGCTAGCATATGCACGGTGTACAGTTTTGTTTATTGAAATTTCAAACGACAGTGGCACCGAAAGACCGAAAACGCAGTGGTTGAAATCAGATTAATGATTCTGTGTTGTTGGAAAAGTAGTTGTGCGCTTCGATGTCCAGTGGGAAAATATATGATGGTTTTAGAAAAAGTTTGGTGACAATCGGTAGATTTATTGCTGGGCAACGTTTCGCTTTTTACACAAAAGCTTTGTCAGGCCATGTGACTAGGTTCTGAGGTTAGTCGAGATTTAAGGCGAAAGGCGAACCAATCAGCTAAGTCAAGCTAAATCTCAGTTGGGTGTCGGCCGAGGGATTTTAGTGTGTTAGAATGGTTGAACAAGTGTTGGGTCGGTGGGGAAACCTACATGTGTTTGGGTCCATCCTAGGGTCTAGTTCTTCTGGTTCGGTTCATTTGATGATTCCTCTTGAACTTCGTTTGAACCTTCTGTCAGTCTGTGTGGGTGAGCTAGTGCAAAGAAAGTTGTGTAAGAGGGGTACTGTGACCTTTGGTCGGTTGGGGTTTCCACCCCAACCTCCCGGTTTCTCTAATGATCCTAAGTAGATTGACAACCACGCCGTCACGTGTCAACTCGGCTTATCTAAGACCGCTTTCCATACGCTCGCTAGCTCCGCACCCTCGGTTCTATTCACGCTGTGATGTGTAGTAATTTCCACCTCCTGGGCTATCAGCCGCTGTGGCGTGAACTTCTACATTCTCCAGATCTATTCTGTCCCGTGTCTAAGGCATGTACCGCCATCGCTGAGTCTTTGACCAGCGTTTGTTTGTTTGGTAATTCTTCTTTTATGCTAACCAATTCTGGTGTGCGATTCCCTGGCAGTTTGTCCTATATAAACCTTAGCGCAATCGTTGCAGTTAATTTTATACACACAGTCCCTACGGTAGGGGATCTTTCAATTGCACCAAAACTGAGCGTAGCGTTTTTCCCTTCTGAAAAACTACTCGAGTGTTGGCTAAGTTCAACAGTCTTCGAATAACACCCGATGTTCCTGCTTTATATGGAGTGACCGCTGTGCCCATCCATTCCTTACTAGCTCTAGATAATGATTTTTATTTCGCTAGCCCCATTTAACACTAGTTCTTTGTTTTCTGTCTAATGAATAGTGGCGTGACCTTGAGAGCTAAGTGAAACATTGTCATTGTCATTATCCCTTCATTACATCACCGCTGCGATTATCTCACCATTGTGACCATCGACATCATTCACTGCGATTTTCCTCCTGTTTGTAACTTACTGCTATACAAGTGACCAGTGCGAGAATGTAAGGTTTAGTTGGCACCCATGTGAGGTGGAGAGCCGAGGAACTTTAACGACAGTATGCATTGCATACTCAATCAAGGTTTCTGCCTGAAACTTCAACCTCAATGTAGTGAATAAGTATAGGTTTTATAAAATTGTTTTCTACCATTAAAACACAACGCGTAACGCATGCCGCAACCATTTACGTATGATCAAGGAATGGATGTCTGTCCACTGACCAACGTGTAGCCAGGACTGCTGGCGTCTTGATAACCGATCTAACTAGAACATAATTACCTATCATTGTGCCTCGTTTTTTGGCCGCAAAACAACTACATGAGCCAGAATATTGTGGGTGCAGCAACTCGGAAACTTGGAACTGTTGGCGGCAACAAGATCTTTATCAATCATCACGTCAGCATTTACCGCGCGCTAACGTAACTATTACAGATTTTCTAGTTAAAAACCATTTAGTGCAAGTTTCATTGTGGATAATGCTTCGAACGATGAAATGGCCGGGAAAGGGGTGAAGATGAGCACGTGTGATACCCGTGCATCGGGAGTGGACTGAACTGCTTTGCTGTGAATGTAAATTGAAACAACGTAGAAAATCACAGACCCTAGAAATGAGTTAACCATGTTGTATTGTATTGTAAGCTCGTCATTTTACTTCACTGTCAAAAATCAGTGAGTTCCATAAGATTAAAATCCACAGCTGACCGACGTTTGGAAATCAGAACCGATCAGTAAACTAGTGCTCAGAAAAACCGCCAATTGAGTTTTTACTGAATGAGAATGGCGCTCTACATAATGATGCGTTCTCTAATGGCGACGATCGTACCGACAATAGTTTGCAGATCGTGTTTTAAAGAAAAGGGTGTCCATGCGTAAGTCATCACCATTTTGTTCAACCCTTGTATTCTACTCCCTTGATCTTGGACCTTCTCCACGCATGCAGCCTCGGGCATCAAAATACCTTGTGAAGGATAGTTTGATAGGGTCAGAGAAAGCTGTATGCGTAAGTAGCTATACAGTGAGAAAAGCCACATCTGTCGCTGGTGAAAAGAAACAAAAAGCAGATATCCTTTTTGATTGCGATTTCACATCTTCTTTGGATAGTGCCAAAAATGTTGGCCTTTAGTCATTCAAGTCTGTGTACCTTTGGGAACGTTCATGAGCTAGCACTCCCACAGAAAAGCTACTTTACTAACCTCTGGAGTTGCCTCATATCCAAAGCGCATCACTACATCTTGATTTAAAGCTTTTTCCTGCAATTTCCCACTTATTGGTGGACTTACATTTCTCATCGCTAAGGAGTCCGTGATCAGTTGTGCACAGTGGATGATGACAGAGTTTACTCTCAGCTTGTTGGAACAAACCGTTTAAAACAGAACATCAAATGGCTAGCCGCAAATGAGTCTTCCATCAGAGAGAACTTATTGTACAGATCAGCGTATTTTGCGGACTGTATCTAGTTTGGATTCGAGCAGAACACACTCCTGGATTGCGCCTGCCCGGTGAGTCCCAGTAGAGCAAAACTGACTGTGGAATGTCCAACGGTTTTCAATAATCTTATGAGTCATATTTTTCTTGTAGACAAAGCCTGATCCTATTAACACACCACATGATTTAGTACTTACAACTCTTACAATATATTCACTGTCTGCTGCAACGCCGCGAAAAGGGGATGTAATCATTGAGTCTTTCGATTCTTTGCCAGGCGTTTCCAAGTTAGCTTTATATCAGTGAACCTGACAAGCATATTTATTCGTACGTAATTCATGGGTAACCCACCATCAGGATTGTGACACCAAAAGAAGCGTGAGTACACAACAATTGGTTTTCTTCGGTCACAAAGTTAGTAGTATGGAACTACAACAAAAGAAACACTGTTCCGAGAAACACGACCAAAAGTCCTACATGTTACATCAACTATCTATGAATCGACAGCTTCATAAACCGGTAACCCATCTGTTTACAAAAATCCAGGTGGCGAGCAACCCTGGATAATTGATAGCTATCCAGATAATCGTAGGATTTAGTACCGGTCCATACATTAGCTCATTTTCCAACCATTTACTTCTAACCTAGAAAATCAAGTAGAATACCAAAAAACTTCGCCTGCTGTGGGCTGTAATTCACGCGTTCTAAAATCGTTAAGTGCGTCAGATTCCACGACTAAAACTAACCAATCATCCTCGGATGTCCAATCTGAGGGTGTGTTGTTTGCTGACTTCGCTACAGGCATACCCTCGACGGTAAGCAGTATGTTTGTGCTCGTTAAGAGATAAACAAAACATTGTGTGCTCTAAAACTTGCTCGTTTAAGCATGATTGCCGAAAAAGTCTATCACGAATGAGTGTTCCGTACTCACCTGAATCGCCTGCATTCGGCGTTCAGAGTTAGGTTGGATTGCCTTAATTGCCGCGTATAGCCGTGTGCGCTCGAGGCTGTTTGGATCAGCTGCCGCTCGATTCATCACGCCACCTAGATGAGCAAATCTACGCGGAGAACTGGCTTGCTGGCGGTTCTGTCCGTTAACGATGGCCAAGCTATATAATGGTAGGAAATGATAAAAACATGCAAAAGTCTGAAGGCAGCGGTTTTTAGTGAGGTACGAAAGGCACGAAAAGCATGAGTTAAAAGTCTGCATATCGATTATTCCATACGATATCTTAAAGGCAGTTGGTTGAGGGCAGTGGCCACTCTAGCAGTACGTAAATATCGATTATTCTGGAGTGATTATGGACAAGATGAAGATTTCGAAAGGGGCCACGGATAAGTCTGCATCAGAAAGCCTTGTGCAGAATAAAAGTGGAAGTATTCGACCAGTTTATAAGCCGGTAATTAAACAGATGGCGTTCACTTCGAAACAGCATGATGTAAACTGAAATGAAGTTACCATACTATGCGAAGTATACAGCGGCTCTGCCTGGCAACTTCAGGACAGAATGGCCTGAATTAGGCCTAGTTCACCAAACGCAAATTGGGTGGACAAGGTGATCTGTCGTACCAACAAGAAGAACACGACTTTAACTGATCATAAAAATGTGTTTTTGATAAACCCAAATTAACAAATGAGTTGCTGGAAGACAAAATCAGGACAGCTGCTGTATTCTGTACCAACAAGAAGAACACGACTTTAACTGACCATAAAAATGTGTTTTTGATAAACTCAAATTAACAAATGAGTTGCTAGAAGACAAAATTAGGACAGCTGCTGCATTCTATGGCAGTAAACATCAGCTAAATCAGTCAAAGTGGAAGGAAAACACTTGGACTGAAACAACTTCACCCTACCATACATAACTGAGGGCCTATGTGCCGACATGTCAAATATTTATGAAAATGAATTTGTACGTTCACTCTCCCCAGTAAGAAAGCAGGTTCAGTTCCCACTCAGATAAATTGCCTGATGGGTAGAAATTCAGATAAAAATTTCGGGATAATCAATAGACGCGAAGGGAAGATGGTAACATTCAGTCGGGAACCTCAAACATTTATAGGGGACAAGCAGATGTATCTTATCAAACCAATAAACAGTAGGTACTCACAGATACTCACGGATATTGCCCTGCATTGAAGAAGATCCGTTTTCAATACTTACCAATAGCAGATTATAAATTATAAGTTGTGCTTTGTGAGTCAACTGTTCCGTTTTTTTCCTAAAAGTGAGTGAATCCCCACCGATGACTGGAACTCAGTTATTCAGCATTCAACAAGCCGTCAGCATCCATTATTATTATTGTTACCATTATTATTATTATTCAGTATGTAGGGTGTATCTACCGGAATAATCAAGCAAATTCGGTTTGAATGTACTGCAACCCTATTTACTGTATTCAAAAAGTTCGTTCGTTTAGCGGCTGATCCACCTGAGCGATCATTAGTAAATTCTATCCAACAATTCTGAAATCGGCTATTGAATAAGGTAAACAAGGCCATAGTTGTACGAATAAGTACCAAAGAAGCTGATAAATGTGTCCCTCTGAGTTTTGGTTCTGCCTATCTTATCTTGTCTCGTCGGATCGATAACGAGATTAGGCAACCTGATTGTTACGCATTCATTGTTTTTACATTATTTTTCATTGGCTCCATGTCCCCAATGAATGTTTTGCATGAGATATTCCTTAAATACAAATATTAATCTCTTCTTGAAAGGGTATTCTGAAGTCTCTTTCATTACATTCAAAACGAAAAAGAAGTTTTAAGGTATGAAAAGGTTAACGCATGCCCTACAGTACTGGAAAAGACATCTATTCAGGCTGGGGATCTTTAGACTTAGCGCTTATTCGATGTGGCTAAATTCAATAGAAAATAATACAGGTATATAAAACTCACAAGTCTGCCAGTCATCCCAGCCATCGTCATAGTCTTGTATACCTTCAATGACCGGTACTGACGAGGTAATTTAAATGTTATCCATTGCTCCTCCTCACCACCATGAGAGGTAGCAGAATCACTGCTGTTTCTGGTGTTTTATTGGAGTTCAACCACAAAGTTTACTTTATTATATTTGACTTGAAAAGAGAGAAACCATTGAATGAGACACGATTTTGTGGGTAGCCTAAATCAAATATCTGGAGACGCATACGCTTCCAAGTGTTCAACCAGACAGTCTGGAAGAAAACTGACGGCACAAACGCCACTGACATCAACCAGCCACCGTTTCTTGCAGTGTCTCTAATTAAGTACAGGGGTCATAGGGTCTACACCTTGAGAGGTGAGCAGCCTCAAAAACACCCAAACTCTATGCAACCTCTTTCACACCCCTTTGTGAGGTCATAAGTTCTCCACTCCGCAGTTTTAGTTATCCTCAAGAAGGCACCAAGAAGAAAACTTATTCAATTGAAATATGCTTTGGCATTCATAACACATGACTAGGTCAACGTTGTTGAGGCCGCTGGATATTATTTTTGACTCAACTATCCGCTACATAACAAAATAACCGTTTTCTGATTACATTATTACAAAATCGCTAGGGCCACCAACATCAGCATTACCTCCGGGAGATCGGGTGTCAAAAACCTGAAGGTGCCTCACATCATTCCTCCACAGATTGCGTTTTTGCAGACATAAAGCAATAAAGCATTTACTGCAGCCCTTGAGACCCAGTTATATGCATTTTTATTACCGCCAGTGGCGCAAATTAGCAAAAGTGATCCGGGCCCTTGAGATTTGTGCACTCACTTCACCAGACAAAGCTGAGGTGATGGAACTACTGAGGTATGTGAAATTCACGATAACTTCCACTGCAAATCGCAAGTGAAGAGCGCGTTTATCCAAGCGTTCCCGTGCTTGGCCTTCGTCCTAAAAGATAAGGACGATGTATTCCGTGGCTCTCACCAGAGCAATGCGAATATTGGAATTCTTATGGCACTTCAACGTTCATGTCATTATTTTACTGGTGACCAACTTGAAGAAAAATGGAGAAATTCGGTGTCTTTGCTAGACACCACTTTTCGCAAGCATATTTAAGGGGCTTTGAATATTTGTCCCCGATGATCGTTCACATCGGATATTCAAACAGCAGGCAGGCGTTAAATGAGCCAGTTCTGATAGACTTGTTTGAGTTCTCTGCTCGAGAACTTTTCAAAGCTAAACGACGCGTGAGCGTTTTGCGTAGACCTGAAGAGCGTATAACCGGAATCCACGCGGAAGGCAGCGATCGACCCATGCCACTCTTAACTGATGGTGATGTGGTCTGTTACATTTCCAGGCTGTTTTATCGGTAAGCATCGCATAGACGAGAGTTTTCGGCCATTCCAGAACTGGTACTTCGAAGAAACAGTCTTTGATCGACACACACATTCAGCAGGTGCTCTCCGATTTCCATAGGTCTCGCGTCTAACCTAAGACAACACCAAAATGAACTTCATCAAAGCTAAAACTACCTAACTAAATGTTCACGTTACTAGCAAACAAAATTGTCTGAGCTTTTAAACTGTTGTGAAGTAACACGTAGAATGCCATGGAAACTGTCTTTTGTGGATTCAGAGCTAGTCTGTCGGTTCGCAAGGTCAGCCAGCGCGAGTCCCAACCTACACACGAATCCGCAATACGCATGGTATAATATTAATTCCTCAGTTTTAAGCTTCGGATGCCACATTCTTACTATACTTGCCTCATTTGTATTTTAATAGATGATCAAGTGACCTACATTGTCCAACAGAAAACCCAGTATACCCCCACAGAATTGTCCGATTACTGAGCTGTGGTAGTTCGCGACTTATATACAACCGGCAAGTCATTCAAACAGCGAAACGTAGTGCAACTTGGTACAGATTTTCACAATAGATTCTGAATTGCTCAAATAATGTTGATCATATAGTTCCACAAATAATTGGCGCTCCATGGAGAACACCGTAAATTCGGTGCATATTGCTCCTAACGAACCATTGAATGGATCAAACAGGTGTACAAAGAGTGATCATGGATAAAGTTCTGCAAGAAAATTTCACTTTGTGTGTGTGAGGGGGAACATCGAGAAACACTGCGCAACTTTTAATTCTCTTTATTCAGCACGATCTTGTAACATACAAACCTCGACGGGAATTTAAACCCGGTAAGTGAACACCATATCATTCGTCCCAAATGGGGTGGATAAATCACATCAAGGCAGGGTGAACTAGCCCTAAACCCTCAACCGTGCATTTCGTGTTTCGCGACTTGGAGTGGACTGGGTCCCGAAACAAGGACTTCTAAACAGAAGGCTAATGAGACTAGTGAAGTGTGTCCTCCACGAGCACGTTACTTTCAGTTTGTGGATTTTTGAAGTTAATGCTGAAGTTTCTAATGTGATAGCACCGTGTGCTTCAGTTTAGTCTATTCTGAAAAGTTTATAAGCACTGTTCTGCCTTGCTGAAAATCAACACTGCGCGCCCCAAGAATCTCTTGGGCTTTAATCATAGGTTGCCTTCGGTTGTAGGATGATATCTATGCCCGAATTTTATAACTTGCATTCGTTATTCCCGATGCTCGAGGTGACATGATGTCCGGCTAGCCACCGTCTCGAGATTACTCAGCGACAACCAATTTGTATAGCCGTCATTCACATTACCACGGGTTACCCCATATTCGTGTTACATGACCTTCAATGGTTCTCATTCTGATTTCATCCTGTAGGATTAGGCACCTTCACAACTGTAAAAATATGCAGCTATGCAGCAGATAATATATTTTGTAAGCAGAGCTGAGGCAGTTAGATAGGGAATCGTGATAGCATTATTCGACTACGGAACGCCTAAATGGTTTGCTTCTACCACTTTCGTTTCCTCCGCTATTTGTGCCCGTAAACAATGATCAATCTACTGGAGTATCTATGGCTAAAATGAAACCACTCTCCGGTAGAAAACTATGTGCGCACTCACGACCCGAGTTCAAATATGCCATCCAAGCTTCAGTTCGACACCTCGTGTGTCAGTGTTCGATTGGCCCATGATAGTTCAGCATGAATTCGCTCTCTGTGGACAGTGATTCTAAAGTGCTTGATGAGAACCTATCGAACAACAGATTGGAAGACAGGTGGTGAATATAGATGGCACAACGGCATCGTGCACACAATTCAGCCTGTCCTGATATCGATGTCACCCTGGTGGGCTATCAGCGTACGCAATAGCCAACCTAGTTACACCTTTGTTTTCACGAAAGACCCAACTGAGTCTCTCGTTCACGGTATTCTTCAACTGGATGTGCTGCACACAGGCCGCCGCATGTTTCAGTTGTCACGGTATATTTTCATAAAGGAAACTACTCACAAGGTTGTCGAAGAGTTTTCGGTAGTAGTGGTTTCCTTTATGAAAATGTCCAATATCCTGTTTACAACAAGCTGTGCCAAGGTAGCGTAGACAATCGTGCTAAGTCATTAATGGCGTATCCTTGATGGTTAGTGATGTACTCAGACAAATTTACTGAGTGAATCCTTTGAAATGGGGCTCTGAGAAAAACCAAGGTCTATTCATTCGTCAGGTTAACCTACTTGGAAAGAAAATGCATTCACGGATCAACTGCAGTTTGGCCACAAAAGGCAACTTGCCCATTCAAAACAACTCAGTTCCATTATGACTATTATCTTTTACATTTTACTGTGAATAGGACTGATGTCAAAAAACGTGTTGGGTGGCTGCCAGTCCATGAAGTGTTTTGATTATCCATGTGGCCAATTTGCCTATGGTGCTGTTTGACGTTTTCCTATACGCGCCCATTCGCTCTCACCAATCTGTCCATTTTCTGTGCGGTATAGTATGCGTTCGGAAGTACTGCGGCACTAAGCCAGCATCTCGGGCTGGCTGAATAATAGCCCTGTACAAGCCACGAAATATTTGCTGTTCGTCCCATCACACACAAACAATCACGGTCAAGTTACTGGGTCTGACATAGCCACAGATGTAACAAAATCTCAACGTACAGACTAACAGAATAACCTTTCGAGTGAACGCTCACTATAATCGTTCTCAGACGAATCGGAACACTGCATCGACAACTTCACTTAAGTATTCAGGTTGGATGCGACCTTTGAAGCGTGGCAGGGGCTGTACGAGGATTTAATCGAATTCGTCCGGATTGGACGATGCGGCACTACCGCGGCACTAGCTCGGTGTGACTTACTACGAGAAGATACTCGTGATTTTGAATTTAACCAAGCAGCTGATAAAGGTGTTTGGATACCATCCTCACCTGTTGAGTATACGTTACTAGTGTTTCTTCTTGAAAAAAATTTTCTGGGAATGATTTCCTGGCTTGCACCGGATTCTTAAACCGAGAATGTGAACGGCATAATTTGAAAGTAACAATAGTTCGGGTGAATTGAAATGTCTGGATTTTGTTTAGGATCTCTCCGCAAAACAATGTGATTGGATCAAAGTATTGTGTATATCGAAATGCAGCGGACAGAACGCTGCGGTCTTTGGCACAGGGGTGTCGAATAACACCGAAGCTTGTACAAGGCACGCAAATGTTCAGCAACCTTCGATATCAACGCAATATCACAGATTGAGTGCCTGCCGTTTCTTTGCTATGTTCTTCCCGGGGCTTTCTAGGTCGTATTTTTGATACAGTCCAATGAGCAACCAAACTTCTTAGAGGATTTTTTAGAGGAGAGATCTACGAGATGTTCATGTAAACAGTCGGCTAACGTATTGGTGACCCTTCTTTCCTATGCATGCCTCTATAATAAGGTGCTTTTTCGCACTGATTGTTGCTCCTCACCACATGTGCCCCAAAATAATTTCAGTAGTAAACCAGTGTCATCGCTTGAACTAGGTGGGTAACAGCTTTGTCTAAGTAACATCATGGAGCAATAAATTCACCTAACAACCTTGAAAGAAAAATATACGCCCCGCAGTTCAAAAACACGACGATTTACACCTCATGCGGGCGCTTGTATCAGGTGGCAACTTAAACCTCAAAACCATATTGCCGCCACTCACTCAGAATATAGTTGTGGATTCTATTTTCTGGAGCTTTTCAGCGAAATATGTTTGCCGCACGACACAGTAACCTACTAATAAGTGAATACGTCCGAGCCTCCCTTGCCGGAACATCACCAGACTCAGTGTCTGTGTGAATACCTTAATTATATTACATAGTGTTGATACAGCTAGCGTGGGTAATTCCATTGACTAATGTCCCATTATCTGCAACTTACATCTTAGACTTCCAGTGTAAGGGTGTGTAATTTTCTGTGGAGGGTGTATACTACTGGTGAAGCACCAAAGTAGCTTATGGTCTGATGTCAAGCTCCGCCTCCGCATCCGATGGAAGGGGAAGATTACCACAAAAATTATGGAATCACTTTGCAAATTCCGTTTACTATTGTTCAATGAACCTTGAGGATGCTTACTTTAAAATCGTCGTGGAGATGAGATGTTTACTTTTGTATCTAATGACTTGTAACCGCCTAGTTCGTGTTTGCTGCTAACCTCGCAGCGAAAAACATTCTTACCGATATTGTCACCTGGATGCAGCCAAAGCATTCACAATGCGATTGCGAGACATGATTTTGTCTTGTGAAAAAAGGTTCGCAGAAACTTTCGGTCCGTGTCTGTTTGGTGACACATATCGTTCCACCCAGTCACTCAGTGGCTCTTTAGAGGATTAGGTAAGGTTTCAATTTCACTGATATCTATTTGTTTGTATTTTCCCTTTTTGACTTAATAGCCCTGGCTGTTTATTTCATTATTTGCCTCCAGTTTAACCAATCAACATTTAATGAGCTGAGGACAAGATCCAAAAAACATTAATGTTGGCTACCCCTTGGTTTTGCTGGCAGTGCTGTTTGTTCATAATATTTAGACATGATGATATGTTTTGTTACTTCGTCAAAAATGGGACAGAAACTTTAGCGCTGCAGGATACATCCATACAGTCCGCTATGTATCTATAAATTTGGCTAACCAAAGTCTGATTACAAATCGACCGTGAATGATCAGAAAAAACGACATGGTGATCGATTTCTCCGCTGATCGTGGATATTTTTCACAATTTCCGCCGCCAATAATGGTAACGTTATCAGTATGTTGTTGTGAAATGAAGCGAAACTATGCGTCTGTTCGTTGTACCTAGTGAATTTTAGCTACAAGCTCACCTGCTGGGTACACAGTTGGTTATTCTTAGAAATTGAACGTGGAGTCCAAAAATCGTCTTCTGAGGATTCATAAATTGATGAGCTAGTCACCATCTGATCGCTCGGAGTTAGTTGCATGGTCTAAGATTAGGTGCTGTTGATCACCGTAGTGATCAGGTACCTGTGTAACGGTGGATATTACTCATGGGGGATATTAGTTTTATGTTTTCTAGTACATCCGCCTCGCGCCTCTTGAAAAGTTAAATCTATTACCGAATTTGTGGAGTCGCTTTGTATCATTTGCTTGCATTTGAGTAACAGTCAATAAATATCCAGGAAAGTTCAGGAAGACAAGTTCAAGTTCTAAGCAAAATGCATACGAAAGTTTTCCTTCCCTGTCCAATAGTCTGTAACTGCTCAGTTGATGTTTTTAATAAACAAGTCCGCAGCGGAGGCTTTCTTCCTTTCACCTGTGGCTGGTATTGGGAGTGTTCCAACAAGTTTGCAGAAGGTCTAGATTTCGAATCACCCAAAAGGTAAGCAATGTTGGTGGTTCACAACAAAGCTGGTTCGGCTGTAATGGCTCCCCGGATTTCAGGATTGGTTAACCGCATTCTTAAGGGAAACGCAGACCTGAAGCTCTATTGTATCTGTGGTACCTAGAAAACAGTACTTATCCACCCCTCGTTAAAATGATTGTCACACACCGGAAGTTTATTGGTACTAACAAGGGAGTGCTAGGTGAATCCGTCTGTGAACGACTTTACTCTACATAGAATTCGACCCCAGTGATGAATGTACTTCTGTTCTGCGCAGCATTAGGTTCTAAGTATAACCCCTAGCGGAAGTATCACATATGGTTTTTTAAACCCGCTGTCGTTTCATCAAAGCGGCTTATTTTTAGGCTCATTGTGTTGGGATAAAACCGATAATGATTCCATCACAACCCTTCTGTTAGACGTGACCAAAATAGAAAATTTTGGAGTTTTGCCTGGCGAGCTTCGTTTTTTTTTGTGGCATTATGGAACGGAACACTGAGGCCACAACTCGAATGTTTGAGAATGCTGCAGAAAATTGAAACAAATGAGGAAGAGTGAGCAGTCACCCGGTCGACAAAACCCACAAGATGCCTATCTTCATTACATGAATCTCACCGCTCATGACTTGGTTAATTAAACTGTTTTTTGGCTCTGTGCTCACCGTACTTCATTTTGACTGTCCCAAACAGGGGTCGCCGGCTATGGTCAACTAACGGTGCAAGTCATACCTTCCACATTTGTGATGAAACAACAAGCGCAGAAGATGGAGAATGTCCTGGAGTGTGTCCATGTAAAAATAGACAGCAACTCAGAAAAATGAGACAAACAGTTCGAGAACTGACGGCGCAAAACGGCATGTGATGAAGTTTTAGGAAATCAAAATTGACTTCTAAATGTGTAAAGGTCTTCAGAGGCTCAAATGGCTAATAAAGACGCGCACTTGTTCAAGCAAACTGAAACTGATCATCTTGCTCCGCAGATTTTTATTCTAGATCTTGACAACTCCTAGTAAAAATGAATGTGAATTAGATATCATGTCGGTTGGGTAGCTCGGTCCACAAGATGAGACCCGCTCACTTAAATGTAGGCCTCTTCAAACTGAAACGAAGCCAGTAAAATCGAAGTGCCCTTTTAAACTAACTAGAGCTTTCCAATGCAGTTATTTCCAGCACATACTTTATCAACGTTTACCAGTACAACTTACCGACGGAGTGTGAGAATAGTTCCTTTGATCCTCTTGCACTTTTCACCCATATCTTCTAACTGATGCAGTTGCTCATCTAAAACCCTGAGAAATGCAAGCAATACTCAACCGATAAGAGATTGAAAACACACGGACATACCAGACACGCCTTCATATCTGGATACTGTTTTCCCAGTGCATAATGCAGTTTTTTTAGAGAAACGACCGCCTAAAGTAGACAGATTGTTTCGCTAGAACAGAATTTTTCGAATAGAATTCGATGAAAAATCATTGAGATCGGTGAAGTACGCTCACTTGGAAATAACGTCAGTATTAACGGAAGACTCCACTGAACTTCTCGTTTATGACACTTCCCAAATGAATATGCTGCATAAAGACTGCTTTATGCAGTTGTCACAATATTCGAGATACTGCAATACGTTTTGTTGACATAAAACATCTTCCATAAACTTGCTCTAAACTCTTCGACATCGGACGACCGGTTCCGCCCTCCTTGGAAATCATTATAATAGCGCACACAGTATTTGGAAGCCAAATCATTGTCCGTACAGATGTGTGGAATTCCACATATCTTAAAAAGAACCTGTGCTTTTAAAAAAACGAATGATCATGATCCAGGTTAGCTGGTGTTAGATAAAGTCTCCGGATTCAATACTTCGAAGTCAAATTAGCAACTCGGTATTTAGTTTTGAAAAATCCAACTTATTACTTGTTGACTTCGCTTTACAGACCGACTGGATAGGAAAACCAACTAAAGAATAGTGAGTAATTTTCAGATGCAAGGTTCCCAGGCACATCGCGTGTCGATTCAGATTGGTCGAACACGAGAAACTGATATCGTAGCCTTTCTTTTAGGTTGAAAATGTCCGGTGCAGTCAACTACGTTCGGCAGCAAACAGTGAGAAATGATATCGAACAACACAGTTTATTACACTTGCCTTTTTTCCATATCAATCGCACGTAGTTCTGCCTCTTCCTGTTTGGACAAGCGCTGTCGAATGTCAGGATATGTAGCTACGGTGTCCGTTTTCGAGTCAAATCAAACGACAGGGATTTGTCAACGCACGAGTTCAAACGTTGGGAGAAGTAGGGCGAGGAAATACGAAGCAAGTGAATAACGGACAAACATTTGGTGAACGCATACCAAAGATATACAATCTTTTGACAGTGTCAAAAGTGTGAATACGAAAAAATATTCCAGTCAAACAGACGTTGCCCCTACACTACGCCATTTGATTTGACAGAAAACCGTGAAAACTGGGAACCGTGGCATGATAAATTTATTCCTACTAAAAAACTATTGCTCTCACTCAAACTATAATTTTTTCATAGAACTAGGTTGCGGAAATTTACAACCAACATTGTTTTTATGAAAGATCGATGGTGGAATCGACAAAATCGAACTTCGATAGTCCAACCTGACGTCACGCAATGGTCTGTTTGTTGACGAATTGCTTTCGCTACTTAGTTATTCTAAACTGACGAGGATCAGCATGCAAATTTTTAAAAAAAAATTTAAACGATTTGATTGAAATAATATGTTAGTTGCTTCCGGTTTTAGATATAAGTGAATTTATGGATTTATCTCAGGTTTGCGGACCTCGTGGACTCACTCTGAATCAAATGTAATTTTACGAATTTCAAACGGTCGGTGGTGACCGAGCCCACCAGTTGACTGGGCTAAGAGATTTTGTGAAACAGGAAACACTGGCAACAAATCTTTGTTCCTGTTTATAGCGTGAGGGTATTTTGTAATTTTTATGGATATTACGTCCTGTAAGTGCAGCCAATTCACGCTTGAAAAGTCGAGAAGCACTGTTCAACTGCTTTATACTCATATCCTTTCCTCACACTACCAACAATCTATAAGTAGCTCAGTAAAGGGATAAACTTCAATCGATGAGTGAAACTTCTATCTGAGAAGTCGATATTCGAGAAGCCAGTCTACCCATGTGACGACGTGATGTGAATCTCGTCTAAGTGCGGATTAATCGCACTGCTGACCAGCCGTTTACGGCCGAGTGGTATTCAAACTACTAGCCAGGAGGTCGCAGGTTCGAGACTCTCTAGAGTTTCGTGAGATGTGCAGTGAATATGATTCCCAAAAGGGATAAACAGCTATACGGCCCTTATCGGCTTGTCAGCATGAATTGGTTGCACCTACAGGACGAAATCTCCACAAACTCTGTTCTGTTTTTCTAGCTTACTTTTAGAATTCATTGGTACACATTGCAATCTGCTGCACGGAAGGAGGTGATCACTCAATGAAAAAGAGTGTTAATTAATCATCTGAACTTATCCGGACATAAAGGTTGAAACGGGCGTGAAGCAGAAGTAAGGCTATTTTTGATCCAAAACTTGATCGATCAAATTGTGACAACCATTTATCCCGTGCAGATTTACCATGGCCAAAAAGTAGTTCACGTACGCTCGATGGATGCTGATATGAACCCCATCCACTCTGAGTCACCAATGAAATCACTATATCCCGCAAACGATATTGATGGACTCGCTCTAAATCATTTTCCACATTAAAATGTCCAGTTAAGAAGCTGAATGAAATTCTCAAAAGCAATAGCTAGATGTCGAACGAAAAATGTCTGATCCCCTGACTCCTGCGCTGTTCACGATACCGTGAGTGATGCGAGATTCTCCAGTTGAGTACAGCGTCATGTAGTCAGGAGAAGCTTTACACGGAACACAGTGAGAAAGAAGTCCTAGTTAGACAATAAATCTATTTCAGTAGCAAAATACCGTATGCTGGTTTGGACTCACTTAGCCAGGCAGTGTTGAATACCACAAGCACAGGAACGTCTTCCTCCCTGAGGCTGCCTAAGAAAACGGAAGTCTAGATTGTTCCGTCGATGACTGACCCTCAGACCTTCCAAATATCCACTCCAAACCAAATTTGGTGAACACTGTCGTCTGGTCTCCCTTAGATCAATTGAGTAGCATTAAATACTCAACAAAGCGGCAAAACTAAACATCTTTGTTCTGACATAATAGTGCACAGACAAATTGATGCCAGAGATTTTTTGGGCAAATAGCTGTAGCTCATTCGTGAATGTCCGAAAACCGACTAAAAGCTTTTGAGGAACAAACAATGTTTGTTCCGCAAACAATCTATAATAGGCATTACTTATTGGAAAGCAGAATCCCTTATCATGCGCAAAGATTCTCGGGGATTCACCCCTTCCAGTCTGTCTGCTAATGCATCAAGAAATCTTTGCTGCTCACACAAGATCAATTTAGCGCTCAGGAAGTCGATTAAGTGCAAACCTGGCCAATCAAATAAACCGAGGAGCTAATTGTAAGAGCAAAATCGATATAGAGAAAAGATGAGGGAATCCAGCTGGCAGATCTAGAGTATTGATTGGCTAAAATTGAGTACGAAAAACCAATCCATGAAATTACTCATAAATACTTCCTTAAGTTGTTTATACTTGTGAGTGGCTGACAGCTGATTTTCGACGTCCTTTCCAAACATAATACCTACCTGGTGAAAATTTTCAATCGAGAATTTATCCTTTAGGTGAAGCTGCTCCACTCCGAAGAGCCAAAGAACCCCATTAGGGGATCTCGAACCCTCGAACTCCCGGCTAGTAGTTTGAACAAGTAATCATTTGGCCACAGGCGTCTGGTCACAAATATGATTTACTTGCACTTATACGGGATAGGGCTCCGCTCGTGTTTCAACCACGAGATCCATATCACGTGTTCACTCGTTTTGACTGGCCCCTTCAGCAAGAAATTCTCAGGCAAAACCCTCGGGGG